CTTTCCGAGAAATTCAGTCTTTGATATCTATTTTCGGAGTCAGCCAATTCAGACCAGGCCCTAGGTTTGTTGGGGTATGCCCTAACATGTTAGCAACTATTCGAGCAGGTTTGGAGCAGGGTAAACCAGGCAACTTGCCACACTGCAAGGTAGACTTCCAGCTCTTTCACTCACTCAAGTCAGCAGTAGTAGCCTGTTACATTGCAAATCTGCCAGACAACCAGAGGGGCCTGATAACTTGATGTATTGCAAACCTAAGTCCACCAGAAGGCATTGTTTTTAAACAAATACCTCTCTTTGGTATTTTCATCTGAAAACACAACCACATAATGCAAGCACCAAGACTTGTTTCAAGGTACTCGTTGGATCCCCTTTACCTTCATACCCGAGCATCTCATTCCTGTAATTATTCCCACAACACCCATGTGGGGTCAGAAAGATGTATAACCCCCTTCTGGAACTGGAGACCCACCCCACAGGGACACCAAATTAGATCAAGACCCTCAAAACACAACTCAATTGCTTCCTAACTCCGCAGGCCCCTCATGGGCTTTGTGCCCAAGTATCTGCTGGTCAAGTGTCCAGCAGTGGAGGCATTTTGTGGTACAGACATGCACAAAGCTCCTACGTCCAAGCACCACCATGCTCCTCAGTCTCCTGGATATCATCGAAACCTCTTTGACTAGGCAGCCCTTCACCAGTCCTGCTCACAAGGCCTTACTGTAGGTTGTTCAAGCACATCTACCTGTTTGGACCTCATACATGAGACTCCCACATAACAGGCCTCTTCACTTGACTTTACTATGTGCTTAGAGAAAAAAAAGCAGCCCTCAGATCTTCCCTCTGCCTCAGCTAGAGCAAGAAATGGGATCCATGGTTTCCACTGCCTGGGAAAAAATGCCCTCACCACCAAGCTAGATGGTATGTTGAGGGGTTTTTTTAAAGAACAATCATCATAATTAAGACTCGATCACTATTATCAAAGTAGTTCCACTTGGCATCGATTATTCAGTGGAACAGGCAAAGGAATGAGATCCTTAGCTTGGGGGTCCAGGCTTGTGCCCAGATTTCAAAAGGATCTGGCTCATGTCTTGCCCCAATTGCCATTTAATTATCCACACAAACAGGAGCTTGCTCCAGAAAACTCAATGGGGCAATGGAAGGGCAGTCTGCTAAATGTGGGTACCAACCCTGGCTCTGCATTCAGCTTGAAAAGTGGGCTCTTGCCTGCGGGGCAAGTGCACTGACTGCTTATTATAAGGGGCTATTTTCCTCCTGTCACACGTATGTGCAGACTGATGCGACTTTATAACTGAGCTTAAAAGGGAAAGGATGAAAACCCTGAGCAGAGACAAGGGCCTAGGGGTCTCTGAGGGATGGGGCTTTGGCCTATGCTCCCTGCTCACTATTTCTGACTGCTCCCGCCCCATCATCCTGGCTTTTGTGACTCCTTATCTCCAACTCCCATGGATTGAATGGGGAGCTTCCTCAAAGCAGAGGATCTCACCAGGCAGCAAGGTGGTAGAGACTGTGTCTATACCCCTCCCTGCCAACAATGGACCTGCCACAGGGCAAACAAGCCTTTACCCACTCAGTCACCAAAGACCAGAAGTTAGGTACGGCAGACAGCTTGGGAGTGACCCTGCATAACTTGAAGAGTACTAAATGTACTCCCAACTCTTCTCCAAATCTTCCCCCCCAATGCTCAAGGCTGCTGCTGGGCTGCCCACCTTGTCTAATTGCAGGGATTTCACGTGTGCAAAGGAACAAATGAGCGGACAGGCTGGATTTCCTTAACCATAATCCCTTTGCAACAGAAGAACTGCTCTACTATTTTTCTGTAGTCAAAAAATGAGTGAAAGCCAAGAGCTGACATTTTCTGAGGGCCTCAAGTCTAATGAGTGGTCTCATGAGTCTCAAACAGTTGCAAACTATTGGGCTAAACCTTAGTTTGGACTTACGCTAAAGGCCACCCCACTTGATCCACCTGTAAATGGGTACCTGGGCAGGCAACTGGACGGGATGCTGGCAACATCACTCCCTTGTGTGTCATTAGCTACAGAAACCAGCATGTCTTAAATGTGGTAGCCTGTTGGCCATCACCAGGTGAGTAGGCCTTTGATGTGTCCTCTGCCATTGTGAGACCAGCCCCAACGGATATGACAACGGACTTTGTACACAATAGTCATGGGTGTTGTTTAAACCAATTTCCAGAAACTTTGTCCTTCAAAACCACCACTGTAGAAACCAGCCTTGGAGCCAGATGGATCAAAGACCCACTCAGAGCAGCAGTCATAAGGCAACCCAAAGTGTCTCCACTGCTGTATTTCTTTGGTGGGTAGGGTTGGTTTTTGGCTGCTTCTTCAAAAGCAGCATTAGGCCAATGTAGACCTAGTTCATAAGGTCACTTGAGACAGAAAACTGGTGTGCTTCATTGTAGGCTTATGCAGGGTCTAGAGAGGTAACAGGCACCTGATCTCAGCTTGGTCCTCCTCTGGGTGTTACAATGGGGTTAGATCAAGGGTGGGGAAAATGGTAGATGGGTTAGTTGGAAGTAGCAGATTATGGAACTACAGCAGCTGATCGATAATTATTGCTGTAAGTCCAGATTTGTTGCTTCACCCTCCAAA